ATCTGATAAATGTTTTCATCTTTTTTTTTTTTCTTCTTCTTGTATTATTTTGTCCATTATTACTTGGGGTTGAATGAAATCGCGTCGGCGTAATAAAATCAATTTGAATCAACGTTACCTATCATACCTTCAATTTTATTTCTTTTTTCTCTTCTTGTTTTTTTTTTCTTTTTTGTTAATTAGTGTATTTGACACTAATTAGACGTAAAAAAAATTGTAAATTAAACGTTACATCACCTGTAACGTCAATATGAGAAAGAAAGAAAGAAAGAGAAAAAGAGACAAGAGAACGAGTAAAGAAATTATATTAAATTAGATACACAACAAACTGACCTAATAATTTATCTTACCTCTTTAGAAAGAACATACAAAAATAAAAAGAAGAAGAAGAAAAAGAAGCGTATACGCGAAAAGAGAGTACGCGAATAATAAATTAGTATCTAATAAAAAGTCAAGTCTTCTTAATGGAGGAAAAGTGGGTGGTTATATAGATATAGGGGGGGAAGGGTTGAAAGGAATAGGAGTGTTCGCGTGTATGTGCGTATGTCTCTCTCTCTCTCTCTCTCTGTGTGTGGTAATTAAGATTGAAAAAAAATAGAACCTAGGTGTAAAAATTGAAGATTCGCGTATAGACGACTACGACGACGACGAAATCAAAAAAAAGAAACTCCCCCAAAAAAAGAAAAGAAAAGATAGACCTAAAAAGAGAAAAATACAGAGAGAGAGAGAGAGAGAGAGAGAGAGAGAGAGAGAGAGAGAGAGAGAGAGAGAAATGGAGAGAAATGGAGAGAAATGGAGAGAGAAGAATAAGAAGAAAAAAGAAAAAAATATGTATATGTAATATATATATATATATATATATAAAGGTTTNAGCAAATCCTTATTGTTTTCAAAAAGAGAAAAAAACAGAGAGAGAGAGAGAGAGAGAGAGAGAGAGAGAGAGAGAGAGAGAGAGAGAGAGAAATGGAGAGAAATGGAGAGAGAAGAATAAGAAGAAAAAAGAAAAAAATATGTATATGTAATATATATATATATATATATATAAAGGTTTTCATAGAAATGACTTGGGTGTCCCGCGGTATGTTTTTTGATCGCGACTCGTTCCCCGCGTTTACCCTCCATCTCGAGTGAATCGCCCTGGCGACAGCCACCAGTAGTACAGGTCCGTGCAAACAAACTGCTTCTGCTGCTGCTGTTGCTGTTGCTGCTCCAGGCGTTGACTGTTACTAATTAAGGGTTGGTTTCACAGTACGCGTGTTAATTCTTAATTAATATCTTTGTCGCCTCCTCCGGCGTAGCAGCTCTCACCCCACTCCCCCACCCCCTCTCACCCCCTCACGCCCACCCATCCCTTATACACACTCTCTCCCTCTCTTAGGTTTTTTTCTATCTTTCTCTCTTTCTTTCTTTCTCTCTGGTACAAGTTCTCGTTGGTGGTAGGTTCTCTCTATTTATATCTTTCCTTTCACCTCTCGAACGACACCCTCGGTCTCGTCCATCCACTTCTACTCTTATGGAGTCTCTCGAATGAAAGGAGCTGTATGGGAACACACGCGCATCCTCGAGTCACCGCCCGGTTACAATCAAATGCTAGAGAAGGAAGGAAGGAAGGAAGGAAAGAAGGAAGGAAAGAAGGAAGGAAGGAAGGAAAGAAGGAAGGATGGTTGGTTGGATGGATGGATTGCAATAGAAGTGGAGAAAGGAAGGAAGGAAATCGAAGAATATTAGAAGAGGAAGATTTACGAAGGTGTATTGAACGGAATAAGAGAGATGAGAGGAAAATAGTAGTAGTAGTAATAGTAGTAGTAGTCGTGGTGAACAGTGCACAGAATGAATAGATGAGAGAAAACCAGTAGTGGACATTTTCTAGTAAATTTACTTTCGTAAATTTACGACCCCATTTTTTTTTTTATATATTTGTTTTCCTCGTCATTTATTTTTACAAAAGAAACGTTTCAAATGTCTTTGGTTTTGCTCTCTTATTCATCACTCCATCTCCACCCATTTTAACTTTGATTTTTAGAAAGATAAAAGAATACTCGCGACAGATATGTAATATATTTTCGATCGAATGGAAAATAACGTATAATATTTAGTTGTTTTAATCGTATGGATGGATCAGTCAAATTTATCTTTCTTGCATTGTACGATGTTCGAATGGGAGATTTAATTTATCCTTACAATGGTACGATCTTTAAACTTATTGTTAGTAATCAAGCAATGGTTATCTTCTTATATTATTCTTCTTTTTATTTTAACAAATGAAAGAAAAAGAAAATAAAAGTAAAAGAAATATGTTCTACCATTTTGCGTTCTCCATCGAGACCGTGATTTTAGTCAGCCTTGGACTACGATTTTAAACCTTTTATATAAAGCGGCTTTTCTACTCTTTTCTTCTTCATCCTCATCCTCCTCCACCTCTTCCACCTCCTCCTACTTCTGTTCCTTCTTCTTTTCTTAGGCTACCGTCTTACGCGTTTCTTTTCAACGAAGATAGTAGTCAATTTCCAACGAGCTACGCGACGAGATCGATAACGAAAGCAACGAAGATGATTGGATCGGACGTCGTACTTTTTTTCTCTTCATCTTTTTCATTCACTACCATTACCACCACTATCTCATCTACTTCTTTATTCGAGACTTTTCCTAACCCTACCCCAGTACATCCTTTCTACCCTCATTTATTGCAACCACACCATCTCAAAGTTAAGACGCGTGGTATACGAACGTTAATATCCGTCGATTCTCGATATTATCAAAGTAGGTATCTCGATAGTAAGTAACAATAAAATATATATATACAGATAACCCTTCTATATAACACGATAGATAGGTTTCTAAAAAATGCCCGTGTTATATATATATATATTATTTTAAGGTAATTTAGTTTTTAAATATATATTAAACGAAATTATATTATCCAGTGCTGTAGAAGTACAATGTTGTATTAAGATTTTCGTAATTTGTTTATCGTCTTAGAACAAAACCGTTTTATAGGATGCCGCGTTGTAGAAGGGTTGCCGCAATTAATGAATCGTGTTATAGCAAAACCGTGTTATGGGATTTCGTGTTCTAGGAGATTTTTCTGTATATATAAGGAAAAGAAGGAGGTGTAATAGTGGGGTGGGAAAGCTTGTAAGTTTTCTTCTCAGCAACGATGATGTTTCCCTCGCCTTTCCAATTTTCTCAGACGTCTTTACAGAGAGTGTACCGTTATCGTCCTAGCCTCGGGCAAAAGGGGTAGTTTGAAGAAGAAGAAGTAGAAGAAGAAGAAGAAGAAGAAGCAGAAGAAGAAGAAGGAGCTTTTCCTTTACTCCGAGAAATCTTTCGGTATTTTTCTTTTACCAACAAATTGGACTATTACGTTCGCAAAGGCGCTGTTACCTTACGAAACCCGTCAGCCGTATTTTCTCTCTCTCTCTCTCTCTCTCTCTCTCTCTCTTTCTCTCTCTCTTTCTCGCTTTCTCTCTTTCTTACCCCGTCGCTCCATTTCGTGCAACTCGTACCTAAGCTCTCAAAGTACCGCACAGTTGTTAAAACAAGCAATTCTGACGGAAAGCTCGTTACCGTTCCATCGCTTTCCCTGCACCCCGGAAAGCACCATCCCAACCCATTCTACCCACACCCCTTCCTCTATTCCCAAGTCCTTCGATCCTACCGAGGAAGAGCTTTGTATTCGTCGATAGAAATATATCTGCTACTTTTCTCTCTCTCTCTCTTTCTATTGGTCTCCCTCCTCCATCTCCTTCTATTTTCCCTCGAACTTGATTAAGGTTCGTTACTTCGTGAAAGCAGCCAAGACAAAAGTAATATAGAAGCCGAGAAGAAGAAATTTATTTTCATTTTATTCTTAGACAACTACTACAACAACAACAACAACAATAATAACAATAATAAATAAGAATGTAAAAAATTGCACGTGAACAATTTTTTCTTATTTTCTTTTACTTCTTCTTTTTTCTTTCTTTTTTTTCTCATCTCGTCTCGTTTCTTTTCTTTTATTTTCTTTCTAATCGTTCTAACGATATTTTTCCTAGCCTCAGAATCGAATTTCTTTAGAAGGAAAAAAAGTTCTCTCCTTACCGATTAGCGTTTCAATGTGTGTGCTTCGGGGCGGGGAGGGGGGCGTGGTCCGGGTGATAGAAAATTTTCTAAATGTTTTGACAGGACACTCGATACGAGTTAGCTCTCTCTCGTTTAGTACATTTTTTTCCTGTAATTGGAACTCTCTCTCTCTCTCTCTCTCTCTCTCTCTCTTTTTCTTCAGATTCTTTTCTTAAGTTTTTTTCTTCTTCCTTTCCTATTTATTTTTCTTCTATATCCAATTTTGTTTTTTTTTGTTTAATAAATCGTTTCCGTAAATTTTTCTTTCCCTCGTTCTCATGGATAATGGACAAAAATTTGTAATATGTTAACGACGATAATGATAATGATAATCATGATGATGATTATGATGATGATGATTATGATGATGATGATGATGATGATGATGATGATGATGGTAAAGAAAAGGACAGAGAACTTATTTAAATTCGAATCAGAAATAGATGATCGATAACCATGTATGAAAAATAATATATAATATCTATATGTATAATAATAATAATAATATTAAGGGAAGGTCATAGTTGCGGTGATCATTTTCAAACTGTCGTTTCTCGTTACAAGTGGCATCGGTTTGCGAACCAACCGAGAAAACTTTTGTTTAATGGCTTGGAAAAATCAGAATCATCATCGTGCACCCGAATATGAAATGAGTGTCTCTCTTCTTTCTTTTCTCTCTCTCCTCTCTCCTATCTCTCTCCTGACTCGTCTTTCGTTAGGATGACGTCATCCTTGAAGCAAACGAGCCATCTGTATGACGATGATAACGAAGAACAGAATATTCTTCTTTTTCCTTTTTTTTCTTTTAATTTAATAATAATAAATTGGAAAGAAACTAGGGAAGTTTGTTTCTCACGATGACAATTACAATTGACATTAAAATCATCATCTCTCACCTGGACTTGCATTCGAGAAGGTGCCTTTCGTCTGTGAGAATCCTGTAACAAAGAAAAAAAACGAAAAGATATTTTTCTATCTTCATTCCTTTTCTTCATCATCATCATCATCATCATCATCGTCATCATTTTCGTGTTCTCCTTCTTCTACATACTCTCTCTCTGTGCGTATGTTTGTTTGTATTAATTCAAAGTATAAAATATATATATATATATATATATATGTGTGTGTCTGTGTGTGTGTGTGTGTGTGTGTGTGTGTAAACTTGATTACTTCGTTACACCTCGTTAATATATTTTTAATTCGAGTAATCTCCGTGGATTTTCGCGGAGTCCGTTTTCTCTCTCTCTCTTTTAACGACGTGGGTTGGAGGAGAAGGAGGAGGAGGAGGAGTTAGTCGGCAGCGATTCGATTAATTAAAACTCCGTGAAACTCCACGACACGAGGTCGCATTTCTTCGTCGAATAGTCCCTGCGAAAAGCCAAGAGTCCTGACCTTTTCTGCTTCGTCTAAATTCAATTAAAATAGGTACCGATAATGTAATGAGAGAACAGAACAGAACGTAATTTTCCTTATACATACATACATACATACATACATACATACATACCTACGTATATACTTACATACTTATTTTTTATGCGTGTGCAAGGATGGAAGAAGAAGAAGAAGAAGAAGAGAAGAAAAGAAAAAAATACTTGTAACATAAACTATATATATAAAGGTAATTCCGATGAGATTTCTAAACCGTTTCGTTAATTTCTTATTTTCTCTTCATTTCTGCCTCGTTAAATTACCTAGTATGTAGGAAAAAAAAAAGAACGAAAAAGAAAAAAGGGAGAGATAAAGTTAGCCTTTTAAATATCGCGCATCGTGTCTCTTTTTTTTTCTTGCTTTCGAAAAAGATTAAAGAAGATGAAAATTTTGTTTGACCATTACGAAGTAGCACGAGCTATTTCAATTCCAAAAGATGACAGAGAGAGAGAGAGAGAGAGAGAGAGAGAGAGAGAGAGAGAGAGAGAAGAGCTAGCTAGATATACTTACTCGTCCTTTCATTCGTCGCGTCGTTGGGGTAGGTAAAAAGAGAGAGAAAAAAAATAGGGGCAAAAAATAAGTGAGGAATAAGAAAGAGAAGAAAAGGGAAGAGAAGCATTCCTGGTCGAGTTAGCGAGGAGGTTAAGTCTCGCTAGTAGTATTAAGATGTTTCAGTACGGCCATTTTCTAATAAAGTCGTCTTCTTCTTCTTCTTCATCTTCTACTACCACTACTACTACTACTACTACTAATACTTTTGCCGAAGTAACATCGAGGACACCACAGTTGTAGGGTTTGAAAAACAGGGGTTGAAAAAGATTCCCCCTGGTCTTTCTCTAAGAAAGTTAGGCGCATAGTAGGTAGTCACTCTCCTCCTTCAGGGTTGAATGTTAGTAGTGTTGGTGAAACTCTGTGTCATTTGAAAACCCCTCCCCCCCTTCCGGCTTTGCTGTGTGCCTTCGTATATAAGCTCAACACTTTTGCGCGGGGGTGGGTTGTCGAGAGGAGGAGAAGAAGACGAAGAAGAAGAGGAGGAGGAGGAGGAGGAGGAGGAGGAGGAGGAGGANGAGAGGAGGAGAAGAGGAGGAGGAGGAGGAGGAGGAGGAGGAGGAACGGGTAGACTGGCTTGGTTTGGTTTGCTTGCTTGCTTGCTTGCTGAGTCGAGCTCCACCCTAAAACGACTTTAACGAGCCGTCGTCGTCTTAAAATAGGGATGCCGAGCTTGAACCGAGTTTGCGCCGTTTGTTTGATAAATTAACCTAAAAAAGAATATCATTGGGGGGATCGGATCTATGAAAAACATGTCTAATGACATTCGAAAAATTATTTTTTTTCTCTCTCTCGTTCATTCTTCTTTTATTTTCAACTGTTACTAACCCCTGTGCAATATCACCCTTCCCGTTATATTTAAGTATCAATTACTTGGAAATCGTCCAATAGAATTTTTCTTTAAATTGTTCACTTTTTTAAGGACGCGTGCGTGCCTGCGTGTCGCGTTAAGGATCTCTCTTTCTTTCTTTCTTTCTCTCTTTTTCTATAGCATTCTTATACATTCTTTTTCCTGGCCTTTCTTTTTCTACCCGATTTCTTTCTTTCTTTCCTTGTCCTTTTCCTTTTTCTTTTTCTTTTTCTTTTTCTTTTTTTTTCCCTCTTCCTTTTTACCTTTTCCCCTGTCCGTCGTCCCCCCTTTTGGCAATAATCGTTGCTGCCAACTAGGAATCGAGAATGAAGAGAAATTTAAACCTCGATCATCGTGTCAGTCCTTACACTGCCTGGCTCTGCTGCCGGCTGGGTTGCAGAGGCCCATGAGGTTTCAAATTTTTTGAAAACCACATAATACTAACACGACACGGAAAAAGAGAGAGAGAGAGAGAGAGAGAGACAGTTAGAGTGAGTGAGTGAACCAGAGAAAGAGAGAGAGAGAGAGAGAGAGACAAGGGCAAAGTCCATTGAGAAAAATCCACTTCCTAAGTCTCGTGTTACAGGCGTGTATTTTGACAGGATCTTATTGTCGTCGCACGGCTAAGCCCTATTGACCCTATTATGGCCCTATTAGTATTATACTAGGATTTGCGGTTACTCCTTGAAAAGCTTATTCTCTCTCTCTCTCTCTCTCTCTCTCTCTCTCTCACTCTCCTTTTTCTACTTTCCTTCTTCATTCTTATTCAATAAAAGAAACATACATACGCGTGTGCGCTTGATTTCCATGTAAGTGTGTGTACGTATCACACATTTTTACCTTAACTATAATTCCTACCCTTATTTTTCATATATTTATATAAGAAAATTGGTTAGATGAGAGAGAGAGGAATTATGGAGAAGTATATAGAAAAGAAAATAATTAGGAATAATAGTATGTTTACGAGAATATAATCGTGTAAGTAAGTTTGTCGCGGATTCTACGGAAAATTGCGAGTTCTTTTTCACCCTACAAATTAGCGACAAGAGGAGAAGGGGCCAGAAGACGGATAGAGAAAGAAGAGCAAACGTGAATGACGAAGAACGGTGATGAGGAGGGAGGGGTTAGGGGAATGTTGGAGATGAAGAAAATCGTTTGAACGCGCGCGCGCGCGCGCTCGCACGCACGCACGTCCACGTTGGCCCTTCGAAGAGGCTACTACCTACCTACCTACCTACCTACCTACCTACCCATCTACCTACCTACCTACCTATATACTACTATACTACTTTCCGCTTTCCCAACTTGGAAGCAGGCAAGCAAGCAAGCAAGCTCGGAATGAGCTGCTACTTAGAGAACGGCTGGAAATGTATTCAGAGGCACGCAATCAAGGTTCCTCATCGTTTTCCGTGTTTCACGCACACGCAACTAACTACGCGTTACTTTCTTGCGCCTGCGTCTGAATCACACGTATATATATGTATATATATGCACATGCATGCACGTATAGTGCGTCTATACGTATTTGCGTGTTTGTTCTGTATCTTCTGTGTATATACGTGTATACATATATATGTGCATGTACATATAGCATGCACGTATTTTACGTATTTTTTCCTCTGTCCTCTGTGTATATACGTCTATGTGTGTGTTGGTGAGGTAAGCTCGCGCACGCACAGAGATGACGATCGGCGCGTGTGTGTTTGAGGCGTGAATTCATGTATGCTCGCGAAGTACTCTTCACCGGGGGGGACAATCGAGGTGTTGGACTGGAAATCCATACCAATTTGAGCGACTTACGCTCGTTCGCTTGAAAGCCCGCAACAACGACCACCACACCATAGGAGGAGGACTGACTGACTGACTACGTTGTATGCATTCGCTACACCTCACGCATACGCATACTAAACGTCAGAAAGAGAGAGAGAGAGAGAGAGGGACTAGTGTTAAGAAGAACCCGATGAGAATTACATCACAGATCTTGCTATAATTCTTTTCTACGGTCGAGATTAGATGAACTGGGATTAATATGACTTTTTATTATATAAAGAGTTGTTTTGCGATTTTATTTTTGCTCGTTTGTTTGTTTGTTCGTTAGCTCCATGATAAACATACGTGAATCGTTAATTTATTTATCTTTCAATGATTCATTTAAGAAATACCAATCGATTTTTATACGATCGGCGTTGATATATTAGAGTGAACCAAAAAAGTGCGTGCGTTTTTAAATTAATATTCTACTTGCACGCAAAGTAATTTTATCGACTTCAAAATATTACACTAATCTGAAATAACACAACTAAACCCGCGAATGTTCGGTTCACCCTAATAAGTTGCATCTTGGAAGAAAACTTGTTATTTGAAGTTAACATTATGTTTCAAAAAAAAAAAAAGAAAAATATCTTTCAGTAGTCGATTGTGGGGTTTCATCTATATCAAAAATGTATATGAGTCATTTTGTTTTTTTATCGGTATTATATAAACGAATATTTTACATTCAATCAGTCATAGTTGGATAATAATATGCGATATTCATAATTCCTATTTGATGGGGAGGGAAAAGGTGTGAGAGAATAATATTGAAAATAACTATTAGAACATAGGGAAATAGATAAAAATAGATTGTAGGAAAGTTAGGGAAATCGTCCCTGTGGAAATCGTAGGACTTTGGCATGGAAGTGGCATGAACGAATGGGAAAAGGGAATGGGGGGATCGACCGAAAGGGCTGGCTGCTCGAGGGATGTTCCACGAACGGAGGGATAGGGTGGGGAGGGGGGTGGTGGAGGGTGAAACTCCGGCGAGTTCGCCGAGGCACGCTAATGGACATAGTTTGCTGCTAATGTCCGAGACTAATTCCCGTGTTATTTCATTAACGTCCCCGCAGCTCCCCCGAGGGGTTTTAGCTCTCTGGCACCTACTACTATGTCGCTTTAACACCATTGCCATAACGCGTTCCCACTAGTATTGCGCACTAGTAGGTGTACTAACACTATATAGAATACAACACAGCCTAACACCTCGTCGTGGCCCGGACACGACCTCGACGAACGACCTCGACATATAACCTTACACTTCGTAGGGCCCTACGTCAAGCAACCAACCCAACA